CTAAAGCTATTCTAAAACTATCTGCATCTTTGCCTCCGACTCAGAGATTTGCCTTTCAATCTTTGAAGGTGCTTCACTCTCGCTTATTACATCAGCATCTATCTTGCGCATAGCATAGTCCCATAACAGAGCACTATATCTTTGACGGAGAAGAGTGGCATCAAATGGTATTTTTTGTGTAATCTCTCCAATAGTGCTCAGGAACTCCGCGAAGGCTGCAACATGCACTCCACAATCCCTAAACAATAATTGATTGAAATAGAATATAAAATAATTAATCCATATACAGTGTATAAAACATATAAGAATGATGACTGGATACTTACATGCTGCCCGCTTTCTGTTGAGGCAGATTTGGAACGAAGATAACTTCAAAAGGTTCGTTATGATCCTTGTTTGTGTATGCGGGATAAGCATACCAGTCAATGCCTTGACTATCTCTGTAAAAGCCACTAATTGACAGATACAGAGGTAACAGCTTAGCTAGCTTTACAATCTCAGAGACTACGTATGCATCCTGACCGGAAGACGTGTACGAGTCGTACACTTTGATACATCTATCTTTGAAATTCACAACAACCAACACCCAATGAAGTTTTTCCTTCAAGTTCACTGGTATCAAGACATTATCCACTGTATGCCAGGGTACATTAGCATGCAATTTGTAGCCCCTAATATACTCACATACAACGTCTTCTTGTTTTGCTACATTAGCATTACTATCTGTATCTTCATACCTGTCATATATTTCATCTATTCTTGTCTTGAATATACAATCAACAGTAGTAAACGTGAAGTCCCTATGCTGATTGTACTTGCCCATCTTTCGCAAATAGTAGAATATGACATCCATATGCTATAAACAAAAGAGGTTGGTAGATAGTGTGAGTTTATTTGCTTGAACTAAGAAATAATATATATGAATACCTCAATACAGATGCTAAAAAAAAGTTGAATACAAATGAATACAGAAAATAGAGGAATACACTGTAATACAGGTGAATACAACTGTATTCAGATTATGGACTACAGTTGAATTCAACTGACATTGAATGAATACAACTAATTCAATTCCTTAATATAGGTGAATACAACATGTAGAATAGAGTTGAATATAGGTTAATAACACAGTTCAATTCAACTGACTTTGGTGGAATACACTGTAATACAGTTGAATACAGATCTGGACAGCTGGTTGAAACAATTGAATTTAACTGCCATTGGATGAATATAGGTAATTCAATTGTTCAATACAGTTGAATACAACAGTTTCAATAAAGTTAACTATAGGTTAATAATACAGTTCAATTCAATTGACTATAGCTGAATACATAGGAAATCAGAGAAAAATACAGCTGAATACAGCTGAATAATACAACTAAATACAAGTTAATAAAACAACATGTTATTATTTAAAGATAAGATTATCATTTTTGGGAAAGACTCACATTGTCATCCCATAACTTCCCGTAAATGGATAGAAGGTAAAACCAGTTTTTGGAATCAACTTGATCAACTCCAAAATCCAATGGAATGTGAAGTATAGACTTGTTTTTCTTGTAATGGTCGTCGAGATTACCTCTACAAGTATGATATAAAACTCATTATGTACATACCTTAAAAAAATGAAAACATAATACAATGAACGGGGGAAAACTCACTTCTGATCATGTCTTGCTAGAAGACCTTCACGAACCCACTTGTCATATTCTTGAATGAGTAACATAGGATGTGGCCCCGTTATTGGATCTTCCTCAAACGGGTGTCTTTTTTCAAAGATGGGTGTCAACTTTATAGAGGAACACGCTGTAAATTGAATTTGTGTTTATGGACTACTATAAATGATTCAATCACGATGAATGCTTATTATTACTTTTGTAAAATCACTTACCTCCTGAGTCGAAGTTAGATTGATAAGGCGAAGAGTTCCATCTACTTGGTCGCCTATTTCGTTGAGGTTGCACTGGTGTGGCTTCATCTTTTTTTGCACTTGCATGAACAACTATTCTAGTTTCTGGAATTTGACTGGGTAGAAACTTGTCGTCCAGTTCAAATTCAGAAACATAGAATTCTTTAGATACATCCTCTTGGTTTGTGGTAGATGGTATGATGGACGGTACCTCTGAAATAGTTTTCTGGTAGTTGTATGTATCATTGTTAGCATGGTAACTTAATGTTAGAAAAAAGATTAAATACATATAAGTAGCTAGTATACATTACAGAAAATGCAGATTAACCAAGCAGAATACATGTAAATACAGTTGAAATAAAAATAAATACAGCAGTTTAAAGTGATATTACAGATTAAGTGTAACACAGTTATGAATACATTTAAAAAAATATGCTCAATATGTTAAGATTTAAAAGTCAGAATACATATATATAGAGCTGAATAACAGTTAAATACATCAGTAAAATGGCTAGATTAAAACATATATGAATACAACTAAATACATATGTTCAATATGATAACTGCTTTTATACCTCATTATTATCTCTGACATTTGTGTCAATGCCACCATCATGTCTCACTATGGGTTCAGTTTGCTGATTTTGTTGAAGTTGATCTGAAAGCATCTTGAAGTTATCATTGATCAATGTCCTTAGAGACTTGAACTCTCCAACAACCTTAACAGTACAAAATAGTTAGAAAAATACTAAAACACATAGCTATCAAACTTTATTGATTAATCTATGGGTAAATACTCACGTATTCTTTGAATGATTTTAGGTCTTTCCTCAAAGAAGATACTTCCTCATTTTGGCCTTCTGGGAGCTGATGGTCATGCACAAGTTTATGTCCAATGTCAGAAACACAAACAGGAGGGACTTTGGGCTGATATTCTGGTTCTTTTGTAGGAATCTTGGGTTGTTCCTTGACCTTCTTATGTGGCGGTGATGAAGATGGACCAACACTTTCAACATGTTTCTTCTTAGATTGAAGATTGGGTGTAGGAGAAAAGTCATTTGTATCCTGTCCCGATTTGTCTGAATGCGCAGGAGTAGGTATTTTCTCAATATCGGCGCACACTTGAGGAATTTGAAAAACAGCAAGCTCTATATCTAGAGGAGTGATGTCCTTGAACACAATCTGTGACCAAAAATAAGTTATGACTTACAAAAAACATATTAATGCATAACTGTATAATGCTATATTCAGG